TGCAGGGCGGCAGGAGTTGTATGGTGGTGTGTGTGTGTGTGTGTGTGTGTGTGTGTGTGTGTGTGTGTGCGCGCCAGCAAAGAAAGCAATGTTTCCAGTGGTTAATTACCCTCATTCTTAATAATTTGCACCTTATTCCAAGCTGAGTTTGGTTATCTTCAACTTCCAGCCGTTGGATCATGTTATACCTTTGCTAGACTGAAGAGCACATTATCAAATATTTGTTCCCGTGTGGGTACTTATAGATTGTAATCAAGTAATCCCTTGACCTCTTTGTTAAGATAAATAGATTGAGCTCCTTGAATTTATCACTATAAAGCAGATTTTCTAATCCTTTAATCATTCTCGTGGCTCTTCTCTGAACCCTCTCCAATTTTTCAACTTCCTGTTTGAATTGTGGACATCAGAACTGGAGACAATATTCACAGAGCCAAATACCAAGGCAAAATTACCCGGGTTATCCTATTTACCTTTTAAAAATCTTGGCACACCATTAGCTTTCTTCCAGATTTCTGGAACTTCCCCAGTATTCTAAGATTTATTGAAAATCGACATTAATGGTCCAGTGAACTCCTCAGCCATTTTATTTAAAACTGTGGGATGTAAGTTATCTGGGTCTGTTGATTTACAAAGGGTTAACTTTAGGAGGATGTTAAACAGCAGCTACTGAGTAGAATGGAAGGAGTTGTCATATGATATGACTACATCATTTGCCCCCCCACCCCATACAAAAATATTTAGTGAACACTTCTGCCTTTTCTGCATTATTAGTGATAATTCCATCATTTCCATCTAGTAATGGATCAATACCAGTGTTAGGATTCTTTTTGTTCCTAATATACTTGGGAAAAAAATCATTGTCCTTAACTCTGCTGGCCATAGAGTTCTCCTGGCTAGGAAAGTGCTTTATTTCTGTTCAGTGAAACCTGTTTCCAATCGACTTAAGCTAAACCACTCTTAGGCCTGGTCCACACTAACCCCCCCCACTTCGAACTAAGGTACGCAAATTCAGCTACGTTAATAACGTAGCTAAATTCGAAGTACCTTAGTTCGAACTTACCGCGGGTCCAGACGGGGCAGGCAGGCTCCCCCGTCGATGCCGTGTACTCCTCTCGCCGAGCTGGAGTACCGGCGTCGACGGCGAGCACTTCCGGGATCGATCCGGGATCGATTTATTGCGTCTAGACAAGACGCGATAAATCGATCCCAGAAGATCGATTGCTTACCGCTGGACCCAGAGGTAAGTGTAGACCTACCCTTACACTGAAATGAGTGCCCACATGGCCTTTGGGACAGGTTTAACTATCAGTTTCAATTCACACCTTAAGTGATACCAGCGTGACTTCCTTGTGTAAACAAGCCAAGTAGAAAACATCCCATCTCTAAAGATTTCCATCTTTTTCCTGTCCTGCCTTGATCTACCATGACTCAGGAAAGGACTCCAGATCAGTGCAAGATAACTATCCCTGGGGGCTGGTAAGTGACAACAGATGACATGCTCCTGTCAAAAGCCGCCTGCCCATGTTTAAGGAAGGAGGTTGTTAAAGGGAAGAAGCTGTCACTCTGCCTGTCACCTCCCCTTGGGATCATACAGCAAACATTGCCATGGGAATAGAAATAAATCTCCACCAAAAGCATGAGCTTATTCAAAAAGTTTGAAGATGTTACCAGCCTCGGTGGGTTCATCAGTTCAGTCAGTACAGCTCTCATTAGCCATTTCTCCAACACCCGGTAGGATGGGGTGTTTCTAAAGCAAACAGCCCTTCCCTTGCTAGGGGCAGTCCCCCTCACTCCTATTCCTGCCCAAGAACACAAAGCTTCCTCTCCTGCCAATGCCACAAGAAAATTATTTCAGTGGGGGAGAAACTTCCCATTAGAAGATAGCTAGAGTCCTGCCAAGATAAAAGGAGAATGTGTCCAAGTGTAATCAGAGGACACCATATTAGCAGGGGTGGTGGGGGAAGCCCCTCTATTTAGAAGCTTTGCTGGGAAGAATATTTTCCCTCTCCTCCCCACACTGTAAGTTGTTTTTTGTTTGCTCCCCAAAGGAGTAGAAGCTGAAAGTGAAGTAATGATTGGTATAAAATGGTTAGAGCAGAGTATTGATTCAGGAGGCTGCGTCCCATTAGCTCCAGCAGGTGTAAATTACATACACATCCAGAGATTTTATTTCCTGTAACCCCTTCTCTGCTGCATTGACCTCTGGATTCTTGTGCCTTGATTAGTTCCTCCTGTAGCAGCCTCCCCGCACTACCCTCTAGCTCCATGTTGTGTAGGAGGAGATTTGTGTCTCTGAGCTGTCTGCACTGCTCTGTGTTTTGCCTTCCATATGCTGTCACTATGCCACTGTCCCTCCTGATTTGTCACTGAGTCCCTGCCTATAAATAGCAGGCTGCCCGATTGCTCTGGTTCAGCCCACGTGACTGTGCATTCCTCCCCTCTGATGAATCGCACTTGCTCTTCCCCACCTGACATGTGACAGCGCGACATGCAGCGGTGACATTGACGGATTGACACACGACAGACCTGTTGGCATGACAGCAGCTCAGAGTGGCTGGTGCATGTGCAAGGCTCCCTGCCCACTGCAGCCTGTCTTGAGGCTTGCACACGGCAGTTGCCAAGCAGAAGAGTCCTTGTCCTCGGCTCCTCTGTGCCTGAATGTGGCAGCAGTGCCAGGAGCCCTGCCAAACCGTGCTGATGAAACCAAACCCTCAGCCTGGGGAATTAACAGGGCTCCAGCCTTGAACCTTGACCACCCCTTGTGCTTCCCACAGCAGAGACAGCAACCCCAGGCCACAGTGGACCTGGGTCTGACTGGAAGTTGTCAGCTTCCAGCCATCCCTCACTTAAAACTCCAGGGGAGCGGTGGATCCTCATCACCTCTAAAAATCCAGCCACGTACATTGAAGTGCCTACAGCTGCATGTGGGAGCATAAGTTTAGACTCCCGGGTTTGAAAATGCTGGTCAGTGTTATCTGTGCTAAAGAAGTGAAGCCTACAGCATTTAAGCCTCCTGTGGCCTTCATTCGCAGCCTACGTCCTACCTCTAAGCCTCAGGGGGCAGGGGAGTCTGGAAGCACTGATAGTCTTGGCAGTGGTATGGGGTGCACTGTAGGGCTGGACTGAGTGGGTGAGGGGGCAGAACTGAGCTGCTGGTCATGGAAAAGAGGCTCTGGGGCTATTCTGATCTCTGCCTGTGCCCTGCCTGCCTTCACCCCCACAGTTGCACCTGTGCCTCTTTCACCCTCCATCCTCTTTCCAAGCCCATCACAGCTGCCCCGTCCGTCTGCAGTTCCTGCTTCCACTGCGAGTTGCAGTGTTGGACCTTTGGAACAGCAGCAGTGAGCAGATGTTTGTGGGGCTCTAGAGAGCACCAAAGTCACAGAGTCTCCAGCACCGCCCAGTAATCTAGTGTAATGCAGGGAGCTTGCATCAGTTCTAAACTCAGACACAACTCCCCTCCCCCTGGCCCTCCTGGGTTGGGAGTTCTGTGAAGGCAGAATGCTCTGCTCCCGAGGACGGAGAGCGCCTTGCATTGCTCCCCAGGAAACTAACTGTCTCTAGTTTTCTTCTGCCAGAAGGATGGAGCCATCCCTCATGGGGCCTGGTGGTATGGAGGGCTCCCAGACATGCGTCCCACAAAATGGCTGTGACAAATGATGAGAGAAAACCACACACACCTTGCCTGGCTCATGCCCTTCCCTTGAGCTGTATGGCTGCCGGCAGGGCCTTGCTCATTGCCTGGCATCTGGCTCCATGGAGGTGCTTCCTTCCTATTATGAATGCAGGCTTACAAGTGGTGAAAGGGAAGAGAATGACAGATATTGATTTGCTACTGGGAAATCAATTGTGTCCCTGACTTATGCTACAGACCCCAGACAGGTCCGCATCTCAGCTGCATACAAACCAGAGTCTAGTCTAAAGCATCAGTGGACACTCGGGCCATTTGGACTCCAGTAGCTCCGTGCAGAAATTCCATGAGCACTAGGCAGGGGAGTCACTGGTCCCTCCCTGGTTCATTCCTCCTTCACAGTAACCCCACTGGAAATGGCCTGGGCATTGCTGGTTGATCCTGCAATAGGCAGGAATGGGAATTAGCAGCGCAGCTTGAGTCAGACCCAGAGAGGTGCCCCAGCGAGGCCTGGATTTCAGGGAGCCTCATTTGCCCATATATGTAGATCAAACTGGTGCCAGCTCTTGGACAGATGGCAAGTGAACACTCTACTCATCAGCTGGCTCAAGACTGCCAATTGCAAACAATTAGAATAGCAACGAAGCTCCCCCACCCAACAAGTGCAGAATTCTGTCTCCAGCTTGGCTTCCCACATTCCCAAAGAAATGCCTTTTCCCCATATGGTGGGAACCTGAAATCCTCTACCTTAGAATCCTCTAAGGTACCACACACCAGGGTGAAGGGAGAGAGACTGCTAGTTCTAATTCAATGGAATAGATTCCTGCCTTCCCGTGTGACACCAAGGCAAAGAGCAAAGTTCCAGGGAATGAACACGAGACACGAGGCAGGAGAGCCAGTCGGAATATTAGGGAGCGAGAGGGAGGGATGTCGGAAGCAAGCCTGGTTTGTATTCATGCTCATTAGGTCTTGTTTTCTGGCCCCGTAGACAGTGTCAGGGCCTCTGCTGACTCTCCCTTTGCTTTGCCTTTCAGCACAGCTATAGAGAGGTGGGCATCCTGCTGCTCTACCTGGCGGTGGGAGTCTCCGTGTTCTCCGGAGTGGCCTACACAGCGGAAAAGGAAGAGGACGTTGGTTTTGACACAATCCCTGCCTGCTGGTGGTGGGGGACAGTCAGCATGACGACTGTGGGCTACGGCGACGTGGTGCCGGTGACCGTGGCCGGCAAGCTGGCAGCTTCGGGGTGCATTCTGGGCGGGATCCTGGTGGTGGCTCTGCCCATCACCATCATCTTCAACAAGTTCTCCCACTTCTACCGCAGGCAGAAGGCCCTCGAGGCTGCCGTGCGGAACAGCGACAAGAAGGAGCCCAAGGACTCTGAGAATTGTCCCAGCCAGAACCATGACTCAGAGGCTCTGGGTGAAGCCTTCCAGGAGGGAGGCAGAGAGGATTTCCATGACCTGACCAGAAACACCCTTCCTGCTCACTGACCTTACTGAGGCTAGAGAGTACGGCTCCTCTCTGGCGCCTTCTGTCCTGGAGACACGTGGCAGCAAGGATCTGGTTTGTATGGAACTGTCCCTTCTCCCCTCTCACTGGACGTGAACAGGAGTGGAGACTGCAGATGCTGCTCATGCGGTGAATTGTCCTTCTGCCAGGATGATGAAGCTACCAGAACTAGAACAAGAGTAACTTTGTGGTACCCAAACTCTCCTAACATCCATCTGGCCTCCTTTAGCACTCCGCACAATGTTGGACTTCATCCTCTGCCGAGCCAGGGCCATTCAGAGCCAAGGGCTCAAAGCAGTATGCCCATCAGGTGCTAGCTGTTTGTCATCTTGAGTGGGGCAGCACACAGCAGCTGTATCCATTTGGGCACTTCTTGAATTACCGTATTTACTGTATTAATGGCAATGCTGTCAGTGCCCCCCAAATGACCTATAAGCAGGTGCTGGGAAATTTAGAATTAAACATAATGGACTTAGAAAAGGAAACCCACGGAAGAAACAGGGAGACCTCAATGTATCCAACTAGCCTCCAGGAACGGCTCCCAAAGTCCTTGGTTAGCTAAGGGCAATCATCCTGCAGCCTAACGTTCTGTTGCTGTCCATCATAATGTTAATGCCCAGCCCCTAGTCCCCTTCCCCGCCCTCCCCTAGAGAAGAAGTGAAATCCAAATGGCAATAGTGTTCACAACAGAGAAAGTTGCC